GGAAGCCTATATAAGGACAGTGGAAGCAGGAAGGGTTTGCTCTTTGCCTGCTTGCCTTCTCCTTGTCAATAATCCTTTCCTTTTTGGATGTACTGACATGTTCAGACCCAGAGCTGAGGCATCCCGCCTCATGAAACTGAGCACTGAGCAGCTATTAGAGTCTTGGACTTTCCATTCATAAGTAGCTATTGTTGAACTGCAGCCTATATGTCATTTCAGTAAATTCTCACACACACACAGTCTCTCTCTCTCTCTCTCTCTCTCTCTCTCTCTTTCTTTAGGTTCTGTGACTTTTGAGAACCCTGTCTAATACAGATTTTGGGACCAGAGTGGTTCTAGAGAAACAGAAGTATAAGGATAAATCTTTTAAGTATCGGGAATAGGTGGTCTACACCTTCAAATTCACCAACACCTTCAGCTACTGAAACCTCTCCAGTCACTCTCCTGGAAACTCAGAAAGTAATAAAAGTCCACGGTGTAAAGTACATTTCAGACTTAAAGAGATAAATGCCTTTGATTATCTTGATTCAACACTAGTGAGTGGCAATGGAATCAGTGATGTTATATTTGAAACTTTTGACAGTTTGGGGAAAATAAGGAAAATTATCCTGCTGGTTGGTTGCTCTTAATATTCCTGGCTAAATTACTAAAGGATAGGAACAAGCTCAGTGATTAAAATTAACCAACTTCAAAATATGGTGAAGGACAACAACGAACTTTGTGATAAAATTGAGCATCTCCAAATGCGAATAAGCAGTCTAAAGGTTTCTAAGTGTGCCCTGGAAGAGAAGCTGCTCTCCAGCAGCCATAGTACATGAGTTATGGAAAATCAAACCAAAGCCCTTTAAAAGTGCAAAGTTTTAATTAACGGAGTCATCAAGAGGCCTGAAATGGTTAACAGTACATTTTTGTTGAAATTGATGAATTGTAATTAACTGACTGAAGAAGAAAAGTTTGAAAGATTGTTAATAACTTCTTGTGATCTATGGGGGAAGAATCTGTCGACTTTGACTTTTGAGTAGTAAATTTACAATCTCCTGATAGAATTGTTTCTTTTTCCTCATGAACTGGAGTGTTTCTCTTTAACAGCAGTGAAATGGCAAGAGTGCCAGAGCCATTTCATGTGATACATTTTAAAAAGACACTGTGAAAAACACATTTAAAATAGACGCATTTATAAAAGGTGTTATAAAAGAGCACTCACTAAAATAAATTTTTTTTTCACTTGAGTATAAGTGAACAGTGAGGTAGAAATCTAGACTTCCTGGTCACTTGCTTTATGATTTAACTAGTGTCATATGAGCCTTTCCCCTTCTGGTTACAATGTATTTAAGAGTCAAAAGAGGAGGTTATACAATGTATACACACTGTGAGCATCCCTCATCTAAAAACCTACATTCAATGTGCTCCACTTCTAACAACCTGAGTGACAATATGATGTGTTAGAAAATTCTACACCTGATACCATGTATCAGATTGTATTAAAAATACAAGTCCCTAATACTGTTCAAAAATTATCCTCAGGCTCTGTGTAAGGTGTATGTGAAACATAGTAGATTTCGTGCCCAGACTTGCGTCACGTCTGCAAGAGAGCTCATGCATTTGTAAAGTCCTGTTTCTGTATCAGGAACAATCCTGGCCCCAAACAGTTTTCTTTGTATAAGGGTTATGCAATCTGTATAAAATTTAAAGCTGTCACTCTACTTCATTGACAGCTACATACCCCAAAGGATATATATCATGAATTCTCCTTATTTGTCCTATGTTATTTCTGAGCTGACAGAATGGTGTATTTGTTCTAGAATTAAAGACTAGATACTTTGGTTTGATGGGGAATATACTTCTGTCTATGTTCATCTTATTGATTGTTGAATAAAGTACTGTTTGGCCAAAGAAGCAGCAAGTTAGGCGGGACTAGGAGTCAAGAAGGATTCTAGGAAGTAAAGAAGTAAAGTAAAAAAGTCTTGCGATCCAGGCAGGAAGTGACATATCAGGGAGACTCATATAAACAAGGGCAAGAAGGAAGTTGTTCCCTTCTCTCTTCCTCCTGGTCTCTGCTCTGGAGTCACCCTGTGTTCCCCTGGCAAGAGAGGGCGCCAGTGGGAGGTATCATCTATAAGATAAGTTTTAGAGCCAGGCTTTGGTGGTGCATGCCTTTAATCCCGGCACTCGGGAGGCAGAGGCAGGTGCATGTGCATCTCTGTGAGTTCGAGACCAGCCTGGTCTGCAAGAGCTAGTTCCAGGACAGCTTCCATAGCCACAGAGAAACCCTGTCTTGAAAAACCAAAAAAAAAAAAAAAAGGTCTTATAAAAATTTATAGATTTATGAGAAATCCTGGTCATTGGCCAAGAAGCATTTGTACCTAATAAAAGTCTCTGTGTGTTACTTGGGACCATAATGTGGCGGTGGGCAGAAATTGAGCAGAAGACACCCACATGGTGGTAGGGCTCGGGCGGCTTTGACTTAAAGACTTATTGTTACATTGAGTCTTGACTCTTCATCTTTCCTATGGAGTCTCTTACAATATTTCTTCTCCAGTGTCATTTTTAAAATAGGATAACTATAAAATAATATGTCTGATGGGATACCCTTGAATTGCATAATCCCTGAAAAGGACTTAGCGCAGTACTTCGCACATAACTGCAAATGTTACCTGTTTCTGTAATTAATCAGCTGACTTGAGAAATGCTTTATTTGTCCAGTCTTTGGTAGACTAATGCCTGCAACTTTATCTAGAGGGCTTGTTGCTTGTTTATTTCTCACCTGATTTCCTTTTATAGTACTGTGGTTTGAAAATAACAAGAACCAGTTCAATGTCAGTGTAAGAATAAATGGCAGGAGTGGTATTCCAGTTTGGACCTGTGTGTTTCAAGAAATTGGCTTCTTTCTTTCTTTTTCTTTTTTTTTTTTTAAGGTTTTATTTATTATGTATACAACATTCTGCCTGCATGTATACCTGCACGTCAGAAGAGAGTACCAGATCTCATTACAGATGGTTGTGAGCCAGGAATTGATCTCTGGACCTCTGGAAGAGCAGCCAGGGCTCTTAGCCTCTGAGCCATCTCTCCAGTCCAAGAAATTGGATTCTTTTAAAACATACTATATATTGTTTGCTTAGAGGGAGGGGTGACAGACAGTAAATGTGGGCACACTTGCCATGGCACACATGTGCAGGTCAGAAGACGTGTTGTGATAGTTCTGTCCTTCCACCATTGATCCCAGGGATTGAACTCAGATTGACAGGTTTGGAGACAGGTGTCCAAGCCATCTTACCGGTCCTGGAAATTGGACCTTTAACCACTCTTAGTTGCATTCTTGGATGTTAACTGTCTCTGATATTGGTGTGATATTAGATTTATATCGCAACATTTTTACAATCCTAATGTATTAATGTTTCCTACTAAATTGACAGTATGAGACTTAACCTGTATGTTTCACAGATGCTATTGATCTTGAATGTCCAGGTCATTGATCAAGTGTGTAGCACTGATCAGATGGGTATTAGCAGAAAACTGGTGCTTGTAGTAGAATAGAAACAAAGTAAACAAAGTAAAGGTGTTGACATGGTATCCTAAGATGCCTAAAATTTAATGTTTATAATGTGTCAGGGATTGTGGTCATTTCTTTGTCTGTATAGTGTGGTATTTGATCTCCAGTTATCAAATCTCCCATTTTCCTGTTTGAAAACTTCTTCAATGGCAGCTGGCTGTTTGGAGGGAAATTTTCTCAAAACTCTGGTCTGAACTTGTACAAATATATTGAATAATGTGTCCTGTTTTATTATGGTACATGTCATGATTTCCAAGTCCTTGGAGTTTCTAGGTTGTCATTTCTCTGTCTCACCTCTCTTTAAGGCCTTCATTCTCTAAAATCCTTAACCCACTTCTCTATGTATTTAGAGCGTCCAACTTATTATATTTGAGGAAACTTCTGAATTGAAAATTTTCAAAAGTTTTGAGATAAGTAGGTTTCCAGACTAACTTGTAATGGCAATCCTAATATCTATGCAAAAACCCAAAACCCAGAAAATAATGAGAATAGACAAATGAGTGGAATAGGAGGCAGCCTGACAGTTTCATTCGAGGCTTTTGAGGGGGACTTTTACTCAAAATCTTTGTTCAGAGCATCTTGGCAAATACCTGCTGTTCTGTGCCAGTTTGCTGTCAGCTTTCTGGAGTGCCTGTCACCTGAAGATGGTGCTGTTTCTGGGCTCACCTAGGAAGAGAGAGTAAATATAGAAAGATTTGCCTTGTGTGCATGAGAAAATAAAAAGAATATGGCAAAGAGTATGTAGGCTTTAGTGGTGTGTGTGTGTGTGTGTGTGTGTGTGTGTGTGTGTGTGTGACAGTAAGAAATGAAAAAACTTAATAGTCTTAGAGAAGTGAGGAGCAGCTCCTGGACTGGTGACTGTCCAGTGACTTTTGTAGAGGACAGGGCAAGGGAAGGAGGATAGGTCACTCATGCATAAAAGCTCCTTACAAGCTGGGTGTTTGGGCAAATGATCACTCCTGTTTTTGTGAAGGTCTTTTTGAGATTTTGTTGCAGGGCTGGTGGGGTGGTACAGACCAGAAGTTCCAGTGCTCTTCAAGCTGAGGCATCCTTAGCCTGCATAGCCTGGGCTATATGGGACTTTAATAATAATCTAATACTACAAAGTTATTATGAATCTTTAAACACTGTAAAATGTTTTTTGTTTAAGAGTACTACATAAAGGGAATGAGTGGTACATATAGTGTGTGTGTATGTCGTATAACACAATTTCAAGATGGTTATTTTTCTATGTTCTTGTTATATAAGGACCTGGGGTCTTACACTTCTAAATATAAAGATTTATTTCTATTTATTTACTTAGTGTTTTGATTGGTATATTATTGCAATATTGCTAAAATTTCCATGGTATTAGTTATTTGTTTATAGACTGTTAGGGCACTTACATATGATTTTACTGCTTTTAAATATTGCCTAATAAAATTACCTACATAATTTTTCTTTTAATTAGGAAGTAGCTGTTTTTGTCTTTGATAAAAAGCTGATTGACAAATATCAAAAATTCGAAAAGGATCAAATCATTGATTCTTTAAAACGAGGAGTCCAACAGCTCACCCGGCTACGCCACCCTCGACTTCTTACTGTCCAGCATCCTTTAGAAGAGTCAAGGTAAAACTTTGAAATTTCCTATAGGAAGGGTCCTGAATAAATAGTTAAAATTAACTACTTGGTATATTTCAAGTATTATCAACAAAATATTTGGAAAAGTAAGGGTTGCAATCTTATGGATCATTTATGCATGTGTATTTATTTATTGTGTGTGTGTGTATTTGCTTGTGAGTTTATGTGCACTATGTGCGGGCACCCCGAAGAGACTAGAAGTTGGTGTCACCCTGGAAATGGACTTATGGTGGTTGTCTGCCATCATGTGGTGCTGGGAATAGAGTCTGGTCTTGTGTAACAGCAGCCAGTGACCTCTCTAACTAGTGGCCTCTGAGGTGTTAGCACTTTTCACAATTGTTATGAGTCTGTGTTTAATTGCCTATAGTAGTCACAACCCATCCAAGGGAACTGTATCCTTTAGGATGTTCAGGATAAGGCAGGAAGAGGCAAATAGAGGATTCCAAGCTTCTCATCTCCCTTCAGCTGGGGCAGCTTTGCTTTTGTCTGTTTTACATATTATGCATCCGAAAGTTCCGTGTTTGAAATCCTCAGTAACTCTCTCCACTCATGACTCCCAAATAAAGGTACAGGCATTTATCATGCACAAAATTATTCTGGATGCTTCTCATTTCTTAACTCCTATAAGCTTCATAATTACACAGAGCTGGGTTAAGATACTATTTAAACTCTGGCTTGATGGAAAACCTGGAAGTTGGCAGCTTGGTTTCTGAGCCTATGCTATGTATCTATGTCTATATCTATGTGTATGTGTATGTGTATGTCTTAGTCTTTGTCTATGTCTATGTTGTGCCTACCAAGAAGTATGTTCACATCTCTTACTATAAAATGACTTTAAGTTAATTTGATCCATTTGTCTTATATCTCATAATTCATTTGAAACTTCTGGAGGTGAGAAGGGCAATATACTTTTCTGTTTTCCATCCCCATAGCTTCTTGTACATTCTAGAATTAGGAACTAAAAGGTTTTTTTTGTATTAACTAGGGTGTGCATGATGTATATGTGTGGACACATGTCATGGTGTGTGTGTGTGTATAGGTCAGAGGGCATCTTTCTTTGTGGAATCAGTTCTCTCTGTCCCCATTTTGTGGGTTCTGGGAACTGAACTCAGGTCAATTGACTCAGGTCAATGTGAACTCAGGAACTTGCATGACAAGTTCCACCTGTTGAGCCATCTTGCTGGCCTTAAATTTTTTGCCCTCAGGAAGAGGCACAATTCAGAGCTTACTTCATGATCTTTAGTTGTAAGACTTACTAAAATTGAAGTAAGCATTAAGCATTAATGATAGGAGGAGAGACACTTCATTTTAAATATATTATTAAGATTGAGATGATAGATTTAGATCCTCCATTTCTTAGGTTTAGGGCAGAAGAAGTTAAGCAGTATATTGCAGACACATGAAATAAGAGTGCATAGCTGCTGTTAAGTAACTGGCATCTTGGAACTGAAGCTTGGTTTAGCCTTGGCACTTTGTATGTTTTCACTGCTAAGCCCATAGACAGAGACCTAAAATATTGGGGCTGAGTCCCTGACTGCTTGGTAATTATGATACAGTGCTCAATTTATTGAGCATGCACAGCAGACAAGGTGCTCTGCCTTGTGTTTTGCATGAGTATCTCATTTGCTCCTTACCATAACTCTCCAGGGTGCATCTCTTAGCCCTGTTTTATAGATGGACAAAGCGAGGCTTGGGGAGATGCGATGGGGTTCAGCATCACCAAGATAAGACATAGGAAAGCTAGGGCTTGGCCAGATCTCACCTGCCTTCTGAGCTTGAGGTGATCATTGTGTCATGGGTGCAGACTGTCGGCATCCATGGTAACATTCTGACATGGGCACAGACTGTTGGTTTCCATGGTAACATTCTCTGAACATTAAAATCTTAGAAATCAAGAGAATAGTAATTGAAACTTAAAAACTGTTGAATCCTTTCAAAATGATGTGCAAAATAGATAAAATGAAGCTTGTGGGTTGAAGAAACCCCTGCCTTGTTCCTGTGGCATATATGAGAACTATTCTGAAAATTACAGTCTTACACATAAGTGTATGATAGCTTTAATGAAACAGTTTCTGAGTCATGTTTTTATTTCTTTTTGGTTTCTGGCAATCACTTTAAAAGCAAAATTGAAGTAGTTTATCTCCTCTGAGGTTTTTTTTTTTTTTTTTTTTTTTTTTCTGGACAGGGTTTCTCTGTGGTTTTGGAGACTGCCCTGCCACTCACTATGTAGAGCACTCAAACACATAGAGATCTGCCTGCCTCTGCCTCCCAAGTGCTGCGTGCGCCAGCAACACCCGGCTCTACTCTGACTTTTTTAAAATTTAAAATAAAATGTATTTCAGTTGTCACAGAATTTAGTTTAACAAATTGAATAATTTATCCAGCATGATTTGTGTGTAAACATGACTTTGTTTGTTGAAGGGTATCATAATCATTCTGGCTTATAAATCATAAAGTTTCCTACTGATATTTGATAGATTTTTCTGTTGTTTCATATGTATTTAATTAATGTATTTTTATAATGTGTAAAAATGATAATAACTCTTTCTTTTTTGAAACAGGGATTGCTTGGCATTTTGTACAGAACCAGTTTTTGCAAGTTTAGCCAATGTTCTTGGTAACTGGGAAAATCTACCCTCTTCAATATCTCCAGACATTAAGGATTATAAACTTTATGATGTAGAAACTAAGTATGGTTTGCTTCAGGTATGTAGTTTTATTTAATATGAGAAAAATTCTTTTCCTTTAAAAACCGTTTTCAGCTATTTCAGATTTATCTACTGTGTAAACTATCTAGTGTAATTTTGGCCCTTGACAATAATTTGAAAATTATTTCCATGACTTATAATTGTTCATGTTTTTATCGTTAATCTTAAGTTATATTTTATGTTCTCCCGCCTGCACAAACCAACCAACCAATCAACCAACCAGGGTCTCCGTGTTTTACCCTGATTGGCCTGGTACTTGCTGTATAAGCCAAACTAGCCTTGAGCCACAATCCCTTTGCTAAGTTATTTTAAATATATGAAACTGATAACATTGGTAACCTTTGAGAAGGATTACTTTATGGCTGTTGGATAAGTTCTTTTTAATTCTTTGAGTCATGTAAATTCATTTCATAAACAAAACTAGAAAAATGAAAATAAATGTATTTAGTAAGAATAAAATAGTTGTAAGGAAAATTTATACTTTTTCTTTCTCTGGTAAATCTTTAGCATTCCTAGTGAATGAAGTAGATTCACTAGGAAATTCTGAGTTCCTTTGAAAGAAAGATTATATTTAAATTTTAAAAACACTTTCTAATTTATCATTATTGTGTGTTGAGTCGTTAGGGCACGTGTGGGTAGATCAGAGGACCACAGTGGGATTGGGTTCTTCTATGCTGTGTGTGCCCGGGTGGAGCTCAGGTCATCAAGGTTGGCAGCAAATGCCTTGGCCTGATGAGCCTTCACATCAGCCTGGTGCACCTTTTTAAAATTTAAATTAGAAACAAGCTTCATTTACATGTCAGTCCCAGTTCCCTCACCCTCCCATCTTCCCCTGCCCCCCACTGGCCCCCATCCCATCCTCTATCTGTTCCCCAGGGGAGGGTGAGGCCTTCCATGGAGGATCTTCAAAGTCTGTCATATCATTTGGAGCAGGGTCTAGACCCTCCTCAGTGTGTTTAGGCTGAGAGAGTATCCCTCTGTGTGGAGTGGGCTGCCAAAGTCCATTTGTGTTCTAGGGATCAATACTGATCCACTACCAGAGGCCTTCCGTACCTCTTTGTTGCTTGTGCTTTTGATCTTACATCCGGGATGTGAGAACTAATGCCAGGAAATGTCTCCATTGTTCTCCCAAGAGTTCTGTAGTTTTTGGTCTTTAATACATTTGAGATGGTTGGTTTTGTTTTGTTTTGTTTCATTGTAGGGCCTTTCACATGTTTAATATATGCCCTACCATTGAGCTACATTCCTAGATTGAGTTTAATTTTTGTAAATGGCATAAAGGTCTGTCTTCATTCTTTCTTTTCCCAGCATCATTTATTAAGAAGTCTAACCACTGACCCCTCCCCCCACATGGTTTCCGTGTCATCATTAAAAAAATTATTTGATCATATACACAAGGCTACTTCTGTGTTTTTCAGTCTGTCTCATTGGTCTGTCTTTATGCCAGTACCGCCATCATCTTGATTGCTGTTGTTTTGTGGCAAGCAACTGCACTGTTTTCCCAAGCTATATATAAAATAGTCCCAATGATTAACAGATAGTTAAAATAAAAATGAAAAAGTAGAAGCTGGGGAGAAGGCTTAGGATCAGAGCACTTGCTATGCAAAGCATGAGGACCTAAGTTTGAATTCCTTACACTCATTTAAAAACTGGATGTGTGCATGCCTGGAATCCCAGCTCTGTGGGGTGGAGTAAGGAGGCTTGCTGACAGCCAGCCTAGCTTTGGGCTCAGTGAAAGACCCTGCTCCAAGGGGTGGGGCAGAGAATGAACCGACAGAGCAGCATAGTGATGTCACCTCTGAACCCATATATACACATGCCTGCATATATTCCCCCATGCACACGCTCACTCTCATAAGCACAAAAAATAACCCACATGTATATCTCTATATGTAGCCTGATGTGTGTTTTGAGTTAATGTGCTAAAAAACTGGCATCTTAGCTAAAGCGTATAGGACACCATCCCTGTATATAAATATAAAAATACTGTCAGTTTTCCAAATATACAAGAAGCAGGTAGCTTGTTTTCTTGTGAAGTTAAGGAAACTTCTAGGTTTGGAAAACTTTGTATTCTTTCAAGTTATATTTGGAAATAACTATTTCTGAAAGTGTAAAATTTTTACAGTTTATTAGCACGTTAACTATATTACTATAGCAGGAAGGTCTTGGAAGCCAAAACAATGTTTCAGAGTTTACTCTGAGAGAAAATAGGTTTCAACAGGAAAGTGCATGATCTGGGTTATGTTCTAATAATGCTGAAGTGGCTGCGTTAACAAACTGTGGACAAAAGGTAAGGGCGGAAGCCAAGAGACCTGATAGTTGTGACTGCTACTGTAACCCTGGTCAGAGACAGCAGTGATCCATGGTTGGGAAGGTGGTATACCTGGATCATATCCTAGGTATATTTAGAAGTGAAAATAAGATGATTTGTGTATGTATGTGCAAATACATATGTATTTGCAGGGTCTTAGTGTGTAATCTTGGTTGACCTGGAACTTGCTATGCAGACAAAGCTGGCCTTTAACTCAAAAGAGATTCACCTGCCTCTGCTTCCACAACTGGGGTTGTGGGTTGAAGGCATGTACCACCATGGCTGGTTGACTGGCCAAATTAAAGAAAAAGAAAAAAAAAAAACATGATAACTCAGAAGTTTTTGTTTTAGCAAATACAAAGGCAAGAGTGATTATTAACTAGTATGGAAAACATTATGGGAGAAATGAACCAAGGTCGGTAGAAACTTGGTTTCGGATTGCTCTGAGACTCAGGTGCTTACAGGAGAATGGAGGGAGAGAAGTCTCAGGTGATGGAGTCTGGACTTGGAGCAGAGGCCCAGCTGCAGAGTGGGAGCAGACAGCAGCTGAGTGATGGAAACAGGGCTGCCTTAAGACAGAGCAGACCCCCACGCATATCTGGGATTCAGGAAAACAGACCATAGAGCAGTGACTAGTACCATTTGAAGAAAGTTGGGGACAGGATTCCTGGAAGCCAGAGAACATTCACTTGCTGGACCCACTTCTTCCTGTACAAACAGTCTCCTGTATAGGACTCCAGAGTCACCTTCACACAGACAGACATAACCATGCTACTATATTAAACATTTAAAAACTGAGCACAGTACTTGGTACTTACCACTTACTACTTACTACCCACACCAGTCTAAAAAAGGAACTTATTAATAGATAGCTGTACTTGGTTTGTTGCAAGATTTCCCTCACTAGTTTGTTTGCTAGCTGACTTGAAAAAACTTCCTAGCTGAACCAGCAGGTGTTGTGTTCTGTATAAAAAGTAATTTTTGGTCAAAAATACTTTTTTGTTTCTACTTCCAGGTTTCTGAAGGATTGTCATTTTTGCATAGCAGTGTGAAAATGGTTCATGGAAATGTTACTCCTGAAAATATAATTTTGAATAAAAGTGGAGCCTGGAAAATAATGGGCTTTGATTTTTGTGTGTCGTCAAGCAATCCTTCTGAACAAGAGGTAATAATGGTTTTCATTTTTGGATTGTTTCAAATCATGGAAATCTATGATCACATCTGCAGTGGTAGTCTGGTAAAGTGTGAGACTTGGAAATGTGTACTGAGATGTCTGCTGTAGAGAAAACTCCTGGTGTTGGTTGTTCCTAAGAGTATTCTCTAAATGATTAATTCTGTAGATGTCTGGAACAAAACGTTGACTGAATTAAACAGAAATTTCTTCCTTAGAAACCCAAATATACAAACTGATGATGTGACTCTTAACACCATTGCCAACTGAGAGAATGTGGGTTTGTCCTTAGGGACCACAGGGGCAGTAATAGTGATTATGTGCTGACATAATGAGATTTTATTAATTTTAAAAATTGGTTGAATTTGTTGTTTGACGACTTCATACATGTATAAATTATGTTCTCTTTAGTCTCACTCTCTTTTATTTTGTAAGGTCTTCCATGCACTTGCTTATTTAATACCTACAGCAACTCAGTGTAGTGTGGGAACAGTAAGTTTAGGTAGGTGCCAAGTGTTCAGCTAGGATGTGAGCTTCATTTTCCTGCTCCCAAGCATTTGTTTCCCAGTGATTCAGGATACCAGCATTGATTCTTAGAAACACCACTTTAGGCCAGCCATGCTTTGTGTTGATTGGTTCCTTATGACATGGAATGGCCATAGGGCACCAATTACAGCTCAGGTATTCGTTGCATGCATTTTCTGGATTTGATGATTTGGGTGTTTTAGAGTTAAATGTGGTGGTAGCATTTTCACTTGCTTGGCTATATACAAAATGTTGCTGTTTCTTATAATTTTTTTTGAAACAGGGTCTGTATATAATCCTGATTGTCTTACAACTCATTGTGTAGATCAGGCTAGCCTGAACTTGAGATATCCACCTGCTCTGCCTCCTGAGTCCTGACTGGATCAGTGCAAATATAAAGATAGCTATAGCCTATAGTGGTTTGCTGTTACTTGACATTCTAACCTTGTCATCCTGTTTCTGTCTTCTTATAGCCTAAGTTTCCGTGTAAAGAGTGGGACCCAAACTTACCATCATTGTGTCTTCCAAATCCTGAATACTTGGCTCCTGAATACATCCTCTCTGTGAGCTGTGAGACAGCCAGTGATATGTACTCTTTAGGCACTGTTATATATGCTGTGTTTAATAAAGGGAAACCTATATTTGAAGTCAACAAGCAAGATATTTACAAGAGTTTCAGTAGACAGTTGGATCAGGTATTTGCCTGTTGGAATTTGTTAAAATGTCTCCTTGGCTTCTATTCTAAAATGTAGACAGTAAATTCTTCTTAAAAATAAATAGCTTTATTAATTCTTTAAGAATTTCATATACATATGTATTTTTACCACATTTATCCTTTTCCTTTCCCTGAATCTTCCTTTTCCCGGATCTACCCCTTCTTCCCAACTGCCCATCCCAACTCATACTCCTTTTTAATAATCCATCAAGTTTAGTTTGTTCTGTAAAGAGAGTTCTGCTTATCCACTGGCATGTTCTAGACATGTCTTGGGCCACATCCTTAGGACAGAACTCCCTTTGCCAGCAGACAGCAGCTATCAATAGCTCCTCAGCAAGGGGTGAGGTCTTAGGAGTCCTCCCATGTGCTGGAATGTTGACAGACTTGATCTTGTGGATTTTTTGGTAGGCAGTCACAACTGCAGAAATTTCCTAATAGAAATGAATACTTCATTTCAAGTTTGTGTAAAACCAGTTCAGTAAAGCTAACTTCTATAAAGATTATTAAAAGGTAGTTATTACAACTTTAATCACGGCATATACTAGAGTATCTAAAATACTGCCCATCTTACTTTAGAAATGGAAATATTTTCAAGTATTAAAGATGTTGTAATTATGTCGGAAGAATAGTTGGTATTTGTACAGTTGCCAGATTCACTGTGTGGAAAGGGTTTATAGCCTTTGTGAATGTTTAATACTCATACATATTTTTGCTCTTTTGAATAGCTGAGTCGTTTACGATCTAGTTCACTTACAAGTATACCTGAGGAAGTTCGTGAACATGTCAAACTGTTGCTGAATGTAACTCCAACTGTAAGGCCCGATGCAGACCAAATGACAAAAGTGAGTACATCTAGGTTTATTGGAACAAAAACTGAAAAAGAAAAAAGGCAAAAGAGAAGAAACTTATAATGCATAATTTTGTTCTTAGATGCTGTCTGTGTTCTTGAATGTATTAAAACTTCAGCATTTAACATTAAATACCTAAACAATTGATGTACATATTTGTGAAGAAAATTAAGGTTTCAAAATACCAGAGATCCTGATAGTCACAGTTAGGGAGGTAGGCATTTTGGATGCTCAGGAAAGTAAAGTGTTGGGGGCTGGAGAGATGGATCAGAGGTCAAGAGCACTGACTGCTTTTCAAGAGGTCCTGAGTTCAATTCCCAGTAAACACATGGTGGCTCACAGCCACCTGTAATGAGATCTGGTGACCTCTTCTGGCCTGCAGGCATACATACAGTCAGAACACTATCCATAATTAATAAATAAATAAATAAATAAATAAATAAATAAATCAATCTTAATAAAAAAGAAGTATTGTCTTTAGCTTGGTAGGTAGCTAGTGCTCATCATGCTTCCAAAGCATTTTATCCTTAAACATTTTATTTCTGTATTTTTAATGGTGTATTTGTGTGTGTCCATTGGAAGATACATGTGTATGAATGCAAAAGTAGCCCGGTGTTTATGCTGGGAATTTAGCTCGTGTCCTTGGGAAGGGAATACATGCTTTTAGTTGATGAACCGGTTCCAGTTCCAACTTTGAAGCTGCTTGAAAGTTTGAGGATTTTATACATAATATCACTGCCCAGCTGGGTCACAGGCACTGAAGATTTGAAAATTTGAGTATGCCCAGCTGGTGATTTGAATTTGAAAAGTTAATTTCTTATTTGAAGTTTTCTAATTAGATTATTTAATATAGAGCTATGAATGTTACCAAATGTTTTTGAATATTTTAAATATGAGCAATTTTAACTGAATTTCTATGAAAATAACTGCTTTCCATACTGTTAGATTCCCTTCTTTGATGATGTTGGTGCAGTCACACTTCAGTATTTTGATACCTTATTCCAAAGAAATAATCTTCAGAAATCACAGTTCTTCAAAGGATTGCCAAAGGTTCTACCAAAGCTGCCTAAGGTTTGTTATCAGTTTTTTTTTTTTTAATGTGGTCAAGAGATTTTTATTTAATTTTACTTTGACTTACTGTAAACTGCTCTTCCAAAGATATAAAACAAATTTACCTTAGGTACATAGATGACAGTAACATACTGAAAACTAAAGCCAAAACTTAGTTATGGTGCAAAATTAAATAGGATTTAAAATATTAGGATGCTGCGTGTGTTAAGGCTACCTGTGCTGGACATTATGTGTCCAAAAGGATGTCTGAGAACAGCCATGGTGGAGCTCACTGCCTCACCAGCAGTTAAGAGATGCATTGGTATTGGTGCAAACCTTCATAGTTCCTTTACTTTTTCTCTGACTTACTAAACAATGAATTCAGAATAGTGTTAAAGACAGTAATGAGGCCGGGTCTGGAAGCACATGCCTTTATCTGTACTCCCAGCATCTGGGAGGCAGGGCAGTGGGTCTCTTGAGTTCTAACATAGCCAGACTACATAGTGAGACCCCTTCTTAAGAACAAAAACAAGAATAGTCAATGAGTGCTAAAGAAACTACTATTTGTAAAACTATTGATTCCTGACTCTAAAGTCATTTCCAAAGCTTCAGCAATCACAGTCAGTGTTTGTCTACCACTTTCCTTAGGTGGTCTGGAGAGTGAATAGAAAACAGAAGTGGTGTCATTCCTTCCAAGGCCATTCCACTCAACAAAGACATGGTTGCCATCTATGAATTACCAGTTAGAAAGTCCGGATAATACTTTATCCTGATAGGATAGGTGATAGGAACCGTAAGTAATGACAGGATTAAGAGGAGAAACGCTATCAGTGAACATTAGTTAGAGTTTTGCTAATGGTAGAATGATCATGTATCTTGTTTTACTTGGGACATTCTGAGCCTGTCCTATTTGTCTTGATGTAGCTGGCAACACAGTCTTACTTTTCTCTGAAAACCATTTCCATTTCACCCATGAACTTTATGGTCACTTTAACGTTCTGAAATACTTTTGTTTTGATTAATTTTTCATTTTTCCTTTCAGCGTGTCATCGTGCAGAGAATTTTGCCTTGTTTGACTTCAGAATTTGTAAACCCAGATATGGTACCTTTTGTTCTGCCTAATGTTTTACTGATTGCCGAGGAATGCACCAAAGAAGAGTATGTTAAATTAATTCTGCCTGAACTTGGTCCTGTGTTTAAACAGCAGGAGCCAATCCAGGTATGTTGTGATAACACCTGAATGTTTTTACAGTTACAATGATAACTACTCCCACTAAAAACAATTGAACTTTGTAAAATTGATTAAGTTGCTGGGTAGTGGTGGCACATGCCTTTAATCTCAGCACTGAGGAGGTAGAGGTAAGTGGATTTCTGTGAGTTTGAGGTCTGTTCTACAGAGTGAGTTCCAGGACAGCCAAAGCTACACAAAGAACTCCTGTGTCAACAAAACAAAACAAAGCAAAAATTGAGTAAGTAGGGGCTCAAGAAATGGGTTAGCACATGAGCACTGGCCGTCTCTTGGAGGACCTGGGCTCAGTTTCCAGCACCCACATGGTAGTTCACACCATCTGTAACTGCTGTCCTAGTGGATCGAAGTCTGCACTCCAGCAACCAGGCACAATAATTTTAAATGTTTGAAAAAACTTGAGGTAAGTATATTAGGTTTTTTTCTTCATTTCACAGAAAGCTACTTTGTATACATTTGAAGCATTGACAAAGTTATGATTAAACTTAGCAAATGAATGTGGCTTTCCATAAATCAGTGACTTAGAAAATAAATTGCAATCAAATTTTGTTTGTGTTTCATTATTCCTAATTGAAAGATAGCAGTTTGGAAAAATAATACTGTTATTTCTAGTTCCAGATATTTTAATTTGGTTTGCTTTTCTAGCAGTTAATTTGCAGAGATTTGTGTCAGTTGTTTCTCTTCATTTTTTTCTCTAATAAACTTTCATTAGAAGAGTGTAATGTCTTATGGGAATAAAATATATACATAATCTCTATGTGTGTGAAATGCAAATTCTTTGTGTAATGTGCATATGTAAGTGAAATAAAATATATAGTTTTTTTAGAGTTTGTATTTGTCAGAAACAAGGTTGTCTTGCATTTAAGAACAGTGGGTCCGTTCCTGGATTTGAGTGTGGGTCTGTCTCCTTTCCAGACCTATGTACTAGTCATTACCTTCTGAAAACTTGCAAGCCTCTCTTCTTTTTTTTTCTTTATCTGAATTCTCTCTCCCTCACTTCCTCCACTGACCCCCTATCTCATCCCCTTTGTGCTCCCCAGGGAGATTGAGACCTTCCATGAGGGATCTTCAAAGTTTGTCATAGCATTTGGAGCAGGCCTAGCGGTGCTCCCCCCCTCCTCCCGTATCTAGGCTGAGATCGTATCCCTCTATGTGGAGTGGGCTACCAAAGTCCATTCATATACTAGGAATGAATACTGATCTAATACCATAGACTGCCCAGGCCTTTTAACTGACATCAATGTTCAGAGGGTTTGGATCAGTCCTATGCTGGTTTCCCAGCTATCAGTCTGGAGTCCCATGAGCCCCCCCTTGTTCAGGTCAGGTGTTTCTGTGGGTTTCCCAGCCTGGTCTTGACCCCTTTTGTTCTTCACTCCTCCCTCTCTGCAACTGGATTCCAGGAGTTTGCCTCAGTGTTTAGCTGTGTGTCTCTGCTTCTGCTTCTATCAACTACTGGATGAAGGCTCTAGGGTGGCATATAAGGTAGTCATCCATCTCATTATCCGGGAAGGGGATTTAAAGTAGCCTCTCCACTATTGCTTAGAATCTTAGTTGGGGTCGTCCTTGTAGATGTCTGAACATTTCCCTATTGCTTGATTTCTCTTTAAACTTGTAATGGCTCCCTTTGTCATGTTATCTCTTTTCTTGCTCTCCTCTATTCTTCCCCCATCTCAGTCTTCCTGCTCCCTCATGTCCTCCTCTCCCCTCCTCTTCTCTCCTTCTTTCTCCTAGCTCCCTCTCCCCTCTCCCCTATTCCCAATTAGCTCAGGAGATCTTGTCACTTTCCCCTTCAGTTGAGGGGCATCTAGGTTGCTTCCAGGTTCTGTCTATTACATATGGCATTGCTATGAACATCATTGAACAGATGTTCTTGTTGTATGAATGTGCTTCTTTTAGATATATGCCTAAGAGTGGAATTGCTGGAAATTGTGGTAGACTGATTCCTCTTTTCCTGAGAAATCTCCATACTGGTTTCCAAAGTGGCTGTATGAGTTTGCACTCCCATCACCAGTGGAGGAATGATCCCTTTCCTCACACCTCTGCAACATAAACTGTCATTAGTCCTTTTGATTTTAGCCATTCTGACAGGAGCAAGATGGTATCTCAGGGTTGTTTTGATTTGCATTTTCCTGATGGCTAAGGATGTTGAGCACTTTCATATGTGTCTTTCAGCCATTGTAGATTCCTCTATTGAGAATTCTATTCGGTGTTCTGTAAGTTTTCTTATACTTTCATTGGCATATCTTTCTTTAGGTTGGGAAAGTTTTCTTTTATGATTTTGTTGAATATGTTTTCTGCTCCTTCGAGGTGGGTTTCTTCACCCTCTTCTATACCTATTATTCTTAGGTTAGATCTTTTCACAGTGTCCCATATTTCCTGGATATTTTGTGTTAGGGATCTTTTGGACTTAACATTTTTTTTTGGTTGGTGAGTCTATTTCTTGTAGTGTATCTTTAGCACCTGAGATTCTCTCTTCCATCTCTTGTATTCTGTTGGTTATGCTTGCATCTGTAGTTCCTCATCATTTGCCCAGCTTTTCTATTTCCCCCATTCCATCAGACTGTGTGTGGTTTTTTGTTTTCTTTTTTTTGTTTTTTTTTTTTCCTATTGTTTCCATTTCAGCTTTCAAGGCTTGCAGTGTTTGAATTGTTTCCTTCATTTGGTTGTTTATTCTTGGCTTTCATTGTGTTCTTTAAGAGGTTTGTTTGTTTTGCAATATTTGGTTTGTCTTTTTTCAATTTCTTTTCTCTTTTCCTCTTTGAGGGTCTCTGTCATCTTCATAAAGTTGTTTTTACGATAGTTCTCTTATTTTTTAGGGTCGTTCTCAGCTACTCACAATCTGGTATAGTAATGGCTTTGTGATTCTTTGTAGTTCTTCCCTTGACAATGCAGCTTTTATTTTATAATTTTTAAAAATGAGCACATAAGTGTTAAATATCATGATGTCATCTTTAAACACCATGGATTTAGTTATTCTCTTCCTCACCCATCCCCTTGCTATTGCTAGTACCTACTCTCCTCTTTTTGAGACAGTGTTGCACCATGTAGCTCTGACTCGCTTGGCACTCACTATGTACCCCAGGCTAACCTCAAAGTCACAAAGGTTTGCTTGGCTTCCACTTCTGTGTCCTGAGTTTAGGGACTTAAGGCCTGTGCCATCAGCCTGCTGCCAATTCTCTTGGCTCTTTCCCCAGTTTCTGTTCCTTAAAGAGGTCATTAGAAGGCAGTCTGTGGGGGTGTTCCTACTAACCAGGGAAGGGTCTCAGGACAGAGCCATATGATTTAAAGCAGGGCTTCCTGGCAGATGTCACAGGGTCCAGAGGAAAAGCGGGTGACATCAAATTACGTAGATTGTTCATGAGTCATAAAATCCAAGACATATGATTTCAGTTCCCATTTGACCGTGTTCTTTTTATGATGGTAAATTTTGATTGTTGGCCGGATACTATGCCGAATCTCCTGAGGAGAGACTTTCACTGTGTCATTGTCTAGATCAGGTTATTCTGTGGCATGCTTGTGAGGGCTTCTTTTAAGAACATGAGGTGAGGTGGGAAGACCTGCCCTGAAGTGGGCAACAAGAACATTTCATGGTCTGTGTCCTGTGCTCTGTGCTGAGTGAAAAGGAGAGAGCTGAGCACTGGCAATTCATGTGTACTCTGTGTGTGTGTGTGTGTGTGTGTGTGTGTGTGTGAGCCCTGCTGCCTCGACTTTCCTGCACATTGGACTGGGGATTGTGATCCAAATAAACCCTTTATTCTCTAAGTTGCTTTTGTCACAGTATTTATCACAGCCTCAGGAAACGAAACTAAGGTAACTCTATTCTTTTTCCTCTGTTTTCAGTTAATAAGCCCTCTTTAAAATTTTTAATTGAGCATTGGCAAAACTTAGTATTCTGAGGCTTGGAGAGGAGGCTCAGCAGCTGAGAACAGCTGTTCTTTAGAGGACCTGGGTTTGATTCCCAGCACTAACAAGACAACCCACAGTCATCATTGACTCTATTACCGCTTTTTGGCCTCCCTGTAGACACAGCCATATTTGCAGGCAAAATAGTCACACACATACAAAATCTCACCTAAGTATTTTGGTTTGTTTATTACAATTTATGTATGTAAAGACAGCTAGGAAAAACTATTAGGAACAATAAAAATGTTTATTCCTAGAATTTGTCCTTACAAAACTTATTTCTGTACTTTCATAGAAACTGAATGACATTTCTCCTTTTGAGACAATCTAACTTTGACTCTCTTTGTCTCTTATTTTTGAAACCCAGTAGTTTTCTGGATATTAGGGACTTGTAGTGGAGTCATGTGTTACTGTAGACATGTTGGAGATTAGTCTTTAAAAGAGTAAGGTGGAAACATTTGTTAAGTGCTACACGTATAAAAATGTAAGAGACTTGATGCGTATATTTTTGTTTTCCATGCCTTCAGGCTAGCAACATGGTGAGTGTCAAAATACACAAATTATTCTTCAGAAAACACTATATTTTGGCAAATATTGAATTTCTTGATAATTGTAGATTTTTAATACTTCTTCCCTTTCCTCACACAGATTTTGTTAATTTTCCTACAAAAAATGGATTTGCTCCTAACCAAAACCCCTCCTGATGAGATAAAGGACATTTTACTTCCCATGGTCTACAGAGCCTTGGAGGCTCCTTCCATTCAGATCCAGGTACAGTGTCTGGCTTGTTTTTCCTTCATGATGGTCTTAAGGTAGGAGAAAGAAAGTCAGGCGTATTTCACAATTAAATCTTTACATTGTATGTACACTCAATAGTTAATGTATTTATCTTATTACCGTGTTGGTTCACTGTTACACTATATATTGACTTCTAACTAAAGAGTTGGAGTGGGCTAGAGGTTAGGAGTAGGTGTTGTTTGTTTGTTTGGAAATTATTGTGTAGCTTAGGCTGAAATTGTTCCCTGAGCTCCAAGTGCTCCTGCCTCCTAAGTGCTAGGATTCATGATGTATCCCAACCCACCACACATGGTAGGTATTGCTTTATAGAGAACACAAGTTAGATTCCCAGCACCTGTGTCCAGCTGCTCACAATGGCTTATAACTCAAGCTCCCAGAAATCCAATACTTTATTCTCGACTCCCTTGGCACCTGCATTCACAAAGGCACAAAGTCACCTCCAGGCACACATACATGGAATTTAAAAAACAAAAAAAAGGGGAAGCTAGATTCCAGCATGGTATCATAATACTTGTAATCCTAGCACTTGGGGTGTCGAGGCAGGAAGACCAAGAATTCAAGGCTTGCCTGGGGCATGATACCCTGTCTCAAAAACACTATGGCTAGGATTGTGGGTTTGTACTGCCTTACATACATCTGCTCTACTGTGTATTTCAAGTCACATTTTTGAGGCATTTAAGTTTATTTAAATAAACTCTTAAGTTTATTTAAGAGAGTGAGGTTGAATTTTTTTCCGTTGTAATCATGGCACAAGTGGAAGGTGTACTCATTTCTACTTTTCAATTCTCCTGAGTTACTGCCCTGTACAAATAAGGATGTGGGCCTGTAATCCCAGTACATAGGTTAAAGTAGGAGGGTTGCAGACTGAAGCCAGCCTGGCCTACATAAAGTCCATGCCTCAGGGGAAAATAGTACAGAACTAGTTGTAATTATAGCTTCTCGGAACACTAACACAGGCCCTGTGTAGCCACTCCATTTTTCAGATGATCATAACTATGATTTTTCATGTTCAAAAAAAAGTGTTGTAAGGACCAAATAACACAAAGCATATGAAAGTTTATTTTATACTGTAACAAGTTAGCTGAGTGTGTCAGAGGAAGGTGGACTGCTTTTCCTTGAGACTGACCAGATTTATTTTTTCAATAGGAGCTCTGTCTAAACATCATCCCAACTTTTGCAAATATTATAGACTATCCATCCATGAAAAATGCTTTGATTCCAAGAATTAAAAATGCCTGTTTACAAACATCTTCCCTTGCTGTAAGTAGTTACACATTCATGTTTGTCTTTCTGTGCTCAATCATTTTCCCATTGAGTAGTAACTAGCTTATGGTTTATTTATGGAGTTTGTCTTAGTTTTAGGTAACCTATATAGAGTATTATGAATTTTTTCATATAACTTGGTTTTACATGTATTTGCTGTATGTATGTGTGAGATCATGCTTGTTTGCACATGTTTGAGTGCCGTAGTGAGTGTGTGCATATGTTTGAGAGCCGTAGTGAGTGTGTGGAAGTCAGGACTGTTTGTGGGAGTTGGTTCTCTTCTTGCACTGTGTGGTTCCAGGGGTGAAACTCACATATTCAGTTTGGCAGCTCTTTTACCTGCTGAACCCTCTTTTATATTTCCTAGAACTTAATATATTTGCCTTTTATAAGTTTGATCATTTTATCCATCATCTGTGTCTTGTGGTGTCTGTATTAGAAAAATACTCATTAGTATCCTAATAGACTCACAGACAAAAGCAGTGTGACACAATTGTACTTTCCAGACATCTTATCCATTTCAGTTGGTGTTCCTTGGCAGAAGAGCTCTGATATGTAAGCTAGAAAGAGTACTGAAGTGGTTGAGAAAAGTCGTTTCTGAAGTGCAAGCATGGCGAAATGGGTTTATTCTGATTTTGTCACTAATTGCTTATGGCCTTGATCATGTGCTACAACCTGTAGGAAACAGATTTTTTTTTTTTTTAAATTCCATGCTTCAAGGCATGATGATGATAATGATGATGATGATGATGATGATGATGATGATGAATACAGTCTTTTGCCTGCATGCCAGCAGAGGGCACCAGATCTCATTCAAGGTGGTTGTGAGCCACCATGTGGTTGCTGGGAATTGAACTCAGGACCTCTGGAAGAACAGTCAGTGCTCTGAACCGCTGAGCCATCTCTCCAGCCCCGGAAACCCTGATTTTATATTGACTTTTCAAAATAGATGGCAAAATTTCAGTTTTTAAAATGCCATTCTGGAAACCCTATGCTTTCTTTATACCATTATAAGTTTATGTTAACAGAAATCTTGTCAAAGTATTCTTCAGTTATGTATAGTGTGCAGGAGTGTGTGAATGCAGGGGCTGTAGACACTGGGGGATCTAGACTAGTGCCACTGTTGCCCTGGTCCTTCAAGACAGGATGCTTATGAGGATGCACAGTGAATATGGCTTAAAATAGCAATTCTGGGGTGGATTTGCATTTTATGTCTCACTTTTTAAAAAGATTTTATTATGTATACAACATTCTGCTTCCATGTATATCTGCATACCAGAAGAGAGCACCAGATCTCATAACAGATGTTTGTGAGCCACCATGTGGTTGTTGGGAATTGAACTCAGGACCTCTGGAAGAGCAGTGGTGCTCTTAACCACTGAGCCATCTCTCCTGCCCTTATGTCTCACTTTTATAAATACATTTTAGGTGCAACCTGGAGCAAATTGAAAATTTTGTTTATTCATGTACAACTATTAATCCATGGAATTATTTTCTGCTTAGTGTTTTAAGACTAGAGTTTTATTGATAGGGTTTCATTAATATTATGAACATGACTTACAGATACCCTTGTTTTGGGGGGAGATTGGGAGAGGGATGACTTGGTACTAAATCCTGAATCCATGGTCTGGCATATGCTAGAAAAGTACTCCTCCTACTCACCTGTATTCCCAGCCCTTCCCCCTCTCTTTTCCATGTGTGTGTTGTTTTTAAAGTAGCCTAGGCCAAAGGTAGCATTGACCTTGCTTTATTGGCTGCCTTTGAATTCGAATCTTCTGCTTTTACCTCCTGAGTCCTGGGGTGATAGGTGTGCATCAGGGTGTCAAGCCCCAGCCCACTTCTTTTTACCTTAGGACAGGGTCCTTCTGAATTGCCCAAGCTGGCCTTGAGCTTGAGATCTTCCTACTCCCATGTCCTGAATAACAGGATCAGAGTTCTTTGCCAGCAGCCCTGGTCTAAGGAAATCCCAGTTAAAGGGGCCAGGAAGATGGCTCGGCTGGTAAAAGTGCATGCTGCAAACCTGACCACCTGAGTTTGATTCCCATAACCTACTGACTAAAGAAGAGAACCAACTCTGGCAAGTTATCTTTCGACTTGACATGCATGTTGTGGCATGCACACAACCACCCACATAAATCATTCAATAAATGGAACCAATTACAGCTAACTGAGGGTATGATGTACATCAAAAGGTGAATGAATATAAAAATTTTTAAAGAGCTTACAAATGTTGAACATTCGTGAGTATATTAAAGATGTATTCAGAAATGTGAAATTTTATGTAAGGCAGATGTGGATAATCTCCTAGGAGATTGGGAATATCTAGGGTGGGATGGCCATAGATTAATATGGACAATTTCAGTTAAAATATTTAATTTTAAGAATGAGTTGAACCTCCCTTAAAGTAACTAAATCTATGTGAGATTGGCTCAAGGCTCTGGCTCTTGTTCCCTGGCACCATAGAAATGAATGAGTGGACGAGTGACCATTACAAGGTTGAACCTCTTTCTTGTCTTTATCTATAGTATCTCAGTTGGAGCATCTGGAGTTCTTTCCGTAACATGCCAGGAAATTAGTAAATAAGGGAATTTCTTTTTTCCTTTTTTTTTGTTTATTTGATTTGTTTTGTTTTGTTTTTCAAGGCAAGGCTTTTTTGTGTAGCCTCCGTTGTCCTCACTCTGCAGACCAGTCTGACAGTGAACTTTGAGATCTGCCTGCCTCTGCCTCCCAAGTGCTTTGAGTTAAAGGAGTGTGCCACCACCACCTGTCAAATATCTTATGTTAATGAATCCATGTTCATAATCTATTTAAATAAGCCTATTTTTATTGTGATTTTTTTTTTTACCATGTGCCTGTTTGGAAGACTAAATTTATACTGAATTATTTTGTTTTACATGAGAAAACTTTACATGACAAGTTTACATGCAATTTATCTCTTTTAACAGGTTCGTGTGAATTCATTAGTCTGCTTAGGAAAGATTTTGGAGTACTTGGATAAGTGGTTTGTACTTGATGATATCCTACCCTTCTTACAACAAATTCCCTCCAAGGAGCCTGCAGTCCTCATGGGAATTTTAGGTAGCTGAAAACTTAATGTCATTTGGTATCATCTTAATCTTATATAATAGTTTTCTATTAAAATGTCCATTCTATAAAACTGTTGTGCTCTGTCTGTCTGTCTGTCTGTCTGACTGACTGACTTATGGAGCTGTAGAATCATTAGATAAACACCACAATATAACTTTGTTCTATTTTAGCAAAAGAAGTGGACTCTTGACATTTATAAACTAAATGGCTGGGGCTATATCAGAGCACTTGACTCACAGGCGCATTCTGAATTTTAGTCCCATGTTTGGGGAAGTGGGGAGAATATCATTTCTGTTGATGTGATAGTGTGTAATTTTCTTCCATAAAGTAGTGTCAAGTACTAAGCTGCTACTCTGAATTTTAGTATTAGGAGAAATAAAAGTGGAGACTATTCTTCACTGTACCTGTATTTAAACATCTTGAAATAGAGTCTGAGATAGATGATTTCAGGGCAAGGGGTTATTCTGCAACCCAATTGCTGCATTATCATAACCAAGGCTTTAGTTTTGTGTTGCCATTAAATGTGCTCTTAAACCACAAAAGCACAGGATAAATATGCCCTGGCGTTTATACATCTGAACTAAGTGCAACTGAGTCACTGTGGTCCACAACGAAGAGAGCATCCTTATTTTAAGAAGAGGAAATCTGTGCCATACCCATTACCAGAGGCCTTCTGTAGATAATGTTAATGGTTTCTATGAACTGTAGGTGCCAATTTCTAAAGTTTATTACTCTGTTTTTCTCAGGT